AATGAAGAATGAAGAGTAATAGTTGCCAGCAGCAGCAGGAGGAGAGAGAGATTTGGGGGCTGGTGATGGTCACTTTGATTCAACAAGCATTTATTAAATGCCAGGTCCCGTGCTAGATACTGTGGATGTGAAGATAACAAAAAACCAGTCCCTAGATTTAGAGTTGGAAGGGCCGTTAGACGTCATCTAGTCCAACTGTCTCATTTTACATATAGGGAAACTGAGGACCAGAGAGGGTCCGTGCCTTGCCCCAAGTTGTATAGGTAATGACAGAGCTAGGATTCAAATTCAGGACCTTTAACTTCGAATCTAGCACACTTCACACTCCCTCTCTCCTCTCATGTAACATTAGACCTTGTAGTTAGTGTGCTAGACTATGAGGACAGGGACTGGATCTTCACCTAAACTTGTATAGCCCTCGGTGCCCAGCACAGGGTTCTGCACACAGCTGGTGCTTAATAAGTGTTTGTTGAAAAGCTATGGAAAGAAAGGGGCATCTTAGCCTGGCCTGGAAGATAATTTCCAAGGACTGAACCAAGCCCCCCAGGATACCAGGACATTACCCAAAGGCTCCCCCAAGGGAGAAACCTAGAAAGCAAAGTTCTCCTGTTGTTCTTTGCCAAGCAGGGAAGGGGTAAGGGATGGCCCAGCCTTCCAGGGACTGGTCCAGTTGGCTTAGGGCAAGCTTCCTCATCTTGGGTAAAGGGAGAGCCTGGGGCCCTGGAGCTGCCCTCCTCAAAGCAGCAGGCTTCAATCCTGGCTTGCTCAAGCAGGTGGCTTTGGGCAAATCAGTTTCACTGTACTCAGCCTGGAGAAAGAGGGAGGGAGGGAGGGTGGGTGTGTGTGTGGGGGCAGCAGTTATGTGAAGGGTTTACTGAGGAGGGGAGAGACCAGATGATAGTGTTTCATATGGCTTTCAGTCACACAGTTGGCACTCAATCAATGGTTATTCCCTCCCATTTACTCTTTTTATGCCCTCAGCTGCTTGCCTCCTAGTCAGGTGCTTTTGTATATATGTCTGTCTGTATGGAGCAGGGTGTTACAAGTAACTGGGGATCAAGGCAAGGTCTGAGTTGGAGTTCTGGACTCACAAACAACAATAACAATGACTTGCGTATCTATAATACTTTGGACCAGGAAAGCCATTCCGTGCCACAGTTCTGTGAGGCAGGTAGGGCAGACATTGTTATACTGCTTTTGCAGATGAGGAAACTGAGGCACAGAGAGGTGAAGTCACTTGGCATCCAATCCAATGGATATTATTATCCATTTTATAGAAACTGAGGCCTGGAAGTGATACTGCTTGGTCTTTAATCCTGGCTAGTCAGTATAAGAAGTGAGACTAGAACTCAGGTCTGGTGAATTCCAAACTAGTGTTCTCTGTCTGCTACCCCAAGAGGGGTCCAATGATTTTGGAAGTAGCAAAGCGGACTTCCAGAAAGAGAGGGGTACCCTCCTATCCTGACTCAGAGTATCACAATGAGGAAACCAAATACTTCTCCCACTCCCTTTCCACACCACCCCCCTTACCACCCTTGCCAGGTATTTTTAGAGCTTTGGTGTTAATGTATATGTTTTATACCTTCACGCTTTTTGGGATTCAGCCTCCTGGAGTATAAAAAGTAACAGGGTCACAGATTTCTACTTGAGAATCATACCTGCTAACCTCTTCCTGTTCCCCAGCCTGATTTGGGCTTCCAGTAGTCTTTCCTACTGCTGAGGGGGTGGGTGGGGCCTTCCACGTGTTTATTAAGTACCTGTTGGGTGCTGCTGGTGCTAGGTGATCTCTAAGGGTCATGGAATATTCAAGCAGAAACCTTCAGGGATGCTAGAGAGGGAGGGTGTTTCTGTACCAGGTATGAGGTCATACTTGGATCATAAGGCTGACCCAGAGGTGGAGGGGCCCCTAATCCAAACCCTGTATTTTACAGATGGGGAGACTCCGGTCCAGAGAAGAAAGGTAACTTCTCTTAGGTCCTACAGGAAGTGAATAGCAAAGCCAGAGTTCAAAGGCAGGTCTTCTGATTCTGAATCTTAAACTCTCTCCACTCCACTACATATTTAGCAGGAAAGCTGGGAATTTAACAATCCTTTTGGAAAGTAAATGATCACTGCTTAATTTAGGTGTTTACTAAATACTGATTTTCATATAGCAGATTTGCTTTAAGTGGTTCACATCTCTGTATTCCCAGCAACAATCCTCTATGTATGTAAATGTCAAAAAGCATTTATTTAAACATTTAATATGTACCAGGTAAACTTGAGAAGCCATTCAGTGGAATGTTTCTAGACCCTGAGTAGGGCTACTGGTTTGTCAGTTTCATGGAATGGTTTTCTCCTTGTTTCCTCTTCCCTCTTGTTTTCTCCTCCTTTGAACCAACACCCTTTTCTGGCTCATGCATGTCCAGCACACATTCAGAAGAACTGGGTTGATCCATACCCCCTCCACCCGGCCAAGGGCATTTTCAGACAAATGTACTCTTTTATTTGTTCACCCTTTCCCATACAGATTTCTGGACAGCTGGGGATTCTTCCTTTACGCCCTAGGATGGAGGGATCTAATTTTCAGAGACCACTGCTAAGTAACAAAATCCACTGAATCACAATTTCTTCATAGAATAGAACCCATATTAACCAGTGCCTTCAACGAACCTGTCCCACAGCTCTCAGTTTTTAGGAGAAAAAGGCAAAAAACAAGCTTAAGTCATGGAGTCAAGAAAAAGATAAAAAGATGCTTTTGAGGGGTGTCTTAGAGACTGTCCATCTGTCCATCCATCCATCCATCCAACTAATTGGTATTTTTCTGTATGTATTTACCGTAGTAACAGGCTTCTAGGAAGCAAAAATGTCAGAGCAGAAAGGGACCTTAGAGATCATTGAGTCCAGCCCTCTCATTTTACAGAAGAAACTGAGGCCCAGAGAAGGGAAGGGGCTTGGTTCCTGCCCTCCTGGAGTTCCCAGTCTAGAGTAAGCACTCATGTACCTTCAGTTATTTCCTGCATCTTGTTATTCTCGTATCCACCTTAAGGTGATTTTAAAGTAAAATAGAAGGAAACTTTGGTGAACTTGTTGTGGTCTAAGAGATTGAGACCCCTCAAAGGCCAGAGTACAGGCAGGGTCATCTGGAATGAATTCACAGACTCAAGTCAAGGTGGCAAAGATTTATTGTTACACTTTTCAGTGGGCAAGGATTCTTAAGGAACCTGTAAGAGACTGGGGATGGAGCTAGGGTTTATATGGAAAAGGGCATGGGAAAGGAATGCCAGGGACACTGATGAGGTAATCTAAAGGTTCAACTGTCTTTGAGAGCTATGGATGGGAAAGTACAGAGAGTATACTGGACAGGGAGGGAGATGACAGAGGTATAGATCTTTGGAGTCTGGCAGGAGGAAGAGTCCTTGGGCTGGCCAAGGACAAAACTCCTTGGGTTGGGCAAGGCACCCCTCTCCCTCTGTCTTGATGAGAGAATGTTCTGCAACAAGGGAGAGCTTTCTTACAAGACAGGAACTTACTAAGGAATTGGGAGGCTTCCAGAGACATGATCTGAGGGCTGGGGCCTGAGCAGCCCAGCACTCTCACCCAGCTCTGTGTAGCTGCACCAGGGAGAGATAAGGGTCGTGCTGGGGCCCATGCATGAATAACTGCTAGGCACAGTGTCCTTGGGCTGGGGAGTGGTTGTCAGAGACAGTGTTTCTGAGGCTAGGGAGAAATTGGGGTCCAAGTCCAAGCACAAGCACCCAAGCACCCCATCAGACTGATATCCCCAGGGAATGGGTAGCAGGTGGGAGAGAGGAAGTTCTGAGGTAATTTCATTCTCTAGTTAACCAACAGTAAGTTAACTGTCATTTTAAAAAAATAAATCTTATTGATATCTCGTTTTTACCATCACCTAAATTTGCCCCCTCTCCCTTCCATAGAATCTTATAACAAGTAATTTTTTAAAAACACGAAAAAGAATCCAGCAAAACCAATCAATACTTTAAAAAAAATCTGCCATTCTATGGACCATCTGCCCTACAAAGGGGGAAGGTGTCTTCTCATACCTCTTCTTTGGAGCCTGGCTTGTTTCTTCAGCAAGCATTTATGAAGTGATTGCTATGTACTAGGCTCTTTGCTGTACTGAGGATACAAAGAAATGCAGAAAGAATCCTTCCCCCAAGGAGCTTACATTGTAATGGAGGAGACAACATAGAAACAATTAGGTAGATAGAACTTACATACCTGTAGATGAATGGTACTCTGAGGGGGGGAAGCCAATACCAACTGGGGAGCTGGGGGGGGCAGGGAGGGCAGGAAGGGGGACCAACAAAGGCTTCCTGGAGTAGATGGGATTTGATCTGAGTCTTGAAGGAAAAGATTCAGAAAAAGCTCTCAGTCATTGATGAGAATCTTGTTGCTAATGTCAAAATCTACTTCCCCATATTAGTAAGTAGAGGCCGCATGGGGAAGTAGAAGGAACCTGGGATTTGGAGTCAGGTGCTAGGTTTGAATCCTGGCTCCTGCCACTTCCTAGCTTTGTCACCTAACCAATCTCTCTGGGCTAAGGATTGGAGAAGGAGAGATGAATCGTTCAGGAGGAAGAAATGACAAGACATGGGGGGAAATCTTCCATCATACAAGCAGTGTACAGTTAGATTTATTAAACTGGGGGGAGAGGGAGGGAGACGAACCAATAGAAACATCTAGGGAAATTAAGCTTTACTTAGCGATTAAATGAACCTAAAACACTTTCAAGGAGCTTTTAAAAAGTGGGGAATTATTTTATTGATTTCATTTAACTCGGTAAAACTGCTTTTAAATGAATTTTGTCAAGTCCCAAATTAAGCTTTCATCTGTGCTTTGGCAAGCCACATCTGCTGATTTGAAAACGGGCCACTTTCTGTAAGGTGGCAATAACGTCTAACTTCTTCTCTGTTCGCAATGTCCACTGGCCGTGTTCCCTCTTCTGTCTGTGTGTCTTCCCCCTTCTGAGTTGAGATCCCGATTCTCCTATCTTGCAGGTGCAGGTCTGGGATACTGCAGGCCAGGAACGGTTCCGCAAGAGCATGGTGGAACATTACTACCGAAATGTGCATGCTGTGGTCTTTGTCTATGATGTCACCAAAATGACTTCCTTTATCAACCTGAAGATGTGGATCCAGGAATGCAATGGGCACGCTGTCTCCCCACTTGTCCCCAGGGTGCTTGTGGGCAACAAGTGTGACTTGAGGGGACAGATCCAGGTACCCTCTAGCCTGGCTTTGAAATTTGCCGATGCTCACAACATGCTCTTGTTTGAAACATCAGCCAAGGACCCCAAAGAGAGCCAAAATGTGGAGTCGATTTTCATGTCCTTGGCCTGCCGTTTGAAGGCTCAGAAATCACTGCTGTACCGAGATCTGGAGAAGCAGCCAGGAAAGGTGCAGAAACTGGAGTTCTCACAGGACCCAAACAGCAAAACTTCTTGTCCGTGTTGAAGCCCAATGGTTTCAGATGAGCTATTGTTACAATTTCTCCCCTTTTCCTGTGACTCCACCAAACTGATGAACACAGCTCGTTTCTGTACAAGTTGACATTAAAATATGATTTATATAGATTATCACTTGGATTCCTCTTTTGTTTTCTTTTTGGTGGGCACTTGGGTTCTCTAGGTTCAGGGATAATATTACATGATAAGAATAATTCTCCTTCCCATAATACTTTGATTTTGACAAAGCATTTTCCTCACAATGATTATGTCAGGTAGAGAGTGATAAGAACAAGGGGGGAATAACTCAGAATTGTTTGCACTAGGATTGGGCTATGGCAGTGATGAGATAGAAGAGGGCTCACTTGGGATGGTCCAAGCACGGGGAAGTAGTTCCTAGAATGGGCTGATGTTTCTGTGCCACTGAAATGCATTTATCCATGCTGGGGAGAGAGGGGGACGATATAAGGACTGGGGTCCAGGAGAGAGTTCAAGTGCCTTTCCCTAAGGCTACCGAGAGTAGGGCCAGGTGAGGTGGAACTTCTTGGGAAAGGGAAGGGAGGGAGGAAGCCTTGGGATGATGCTGTTTGTACCCTCAAAATTTCAGAGCCAAGGAATAAAACTCTCACTGTACTGCCTTAAGTTATGATTCTGATAAGAGATCAAATTTTTATAACATTTCACAGACATGCTCTCATTTGTCCTCACAATCAATCTCCCTTTAGTTGGTAAGCTCTTTGACATCACAGACTGCCATTCTTTATCTCAGTTCCCCCAGGATCCCGAACATAACAGATGCTTAATCAATGTTTGTTGAATGAATGAGGTAGATTGTGTTATTATTCTCATTTTTCAGATAAGGAGACTGAAGTTTTAAGAAGAGACATTACCTGCCCAAAGTAACATAGCTAGCAAGTTGTGGATTTGGGGTTTGAATCCAGTTCTTCTATCTCCAAATCCTCTTTCCATTTGACAAAATGTGTCTTATCTCACAGTTTTAACTAGGGCCTCCTCTTACTAGATTGATTTTAGATTAGTCCATGCCTCAATTACCCAGGCAAGTCTTTTAAGAAAATGTGGCAAGTATTTTGTTCACCAGAGAGTATATTTATGGGTAGAAGTAGAAATAGAATTTTGCTTTCTCATTATGGGGGAAAGGAGGTGCTGCAACTCCACAAAGTAGGCCATAGAAATTCCCATGATTCCACTGGGCAGAACTTCCAAAGGCTTAGCCTCAACCTCAGGTAAACCACACTTGGCAAAGTCCCAAGAAGTTTGGAAGAGACCTTCATCACACTAATCACAAAACATCAGATCTGGAAAGAAGCCTGAAGACCATCCTGTACAGCTTCCTCATTGTACAAATCTTGGAGAGAAGAAGGGAGTCATGGTGTTCACCTATCAATATTTTCTACCTCTAGAAGTTACCCTTGGGCATCATCTAAGTACAAAGTGGCCTAAGAGGCTTGCATCTTCCCCCATACTTCCTGAACTGATTGCTTTATAGCCACCATACTGCTACTGCCTCCTTCAGTAAAATTCAAGTAAAAGGTAAAAATTCAAGGTTTAAAATTCAATTTAATAATTCAAAACTCAATACTTTACAGGGTACTCATGCTGCTCCCCATTCTTCTAGCTGATATCCTAGGACAATGAATCTTTGCCATATTGCCTGAGTTGTGTCCCTATTCCTCTAAGTCACAAATGCAGGTACTAGAAGCATTTGCAGACCCTTCCCCTTCCCCCTTCTCTTTTGGAGATCTTTGTAAAAACAGTTTGGGGGTCATTTGAATGGCTTAGAGCCAAGCAGTAGGTGTAGAAGAAAGGGAAAGGCAAATGGAAAGGATATTTGAGGTCATGCCCTTATAACCACTCCTCACACCCCAAGACTCAGTAGGAGATGATGACTAAGCAGAATGAACACTGCTTACACATTAGGGGAGGGAGGAGATAAATGGGACAAAGGTACCCTAACCCACCAAGAAGGGAAAACCAGTAACTTTGGTTGTGGAGAAGAAGTAGAGGAGATTTCCACAGTTGGTTGGTTGTTGTCCTTCGTTCTCGAAGAGGATCAGAATGATATCACCATGTTGAGGTCAAGGTACAGTGTGTCCCACTGTGCCTGATCCAACCAGTACAAGCTCAGAAGGATCGATCACAGATTGGGCACAAATATGAACATTTGAAGTGGAAATGTCTCTAAATTTGAGTATCTCATGCTTCATTTGAGCAACTGCAATTCTGCTTTGCTCACAGAACACAGTGCCTTCTTTGAGGAGGGCACGCCATGCTGAGCAGTCCTGGGACAGTGTCTCCCACATCTCCCAATCTATTCCAAAGTTACTTTCATTTAAAATTTTTCCTTTCCTACTCCTGTCTTCTGCTGTCACCAAGACCTGGCTCCCTCCTGATGATGCAGCCTCCTTGGACAACCTTTTCAACACTAGTTGCACTTACACTCATTCCCCTAACTCACTAGTTTAGATGAGGGAGTTGGATTACTCCTTGTTCCTCATTGCCATTTCCGGGCTCTTCGTCTGTCACCATCACATAGTAAGCTCTCTTCCTTTAAGGTTCACTCAGTCATATTTACGACCCAATAAAGATTCTGTTAGCTGTTATCTGCCTATTCAAGTTCATGTCCCTTCTTTCTTCAATGAGTTCAGTGCCTTGCTCAGAGTCTTTCTCTCCTCTCCAACTCCTGCCCTCATTCTCAGGGACCTCAGTATACACACTGATATTCCTTCAAACTCCCTCAAACCTCCCAGTCCTTCAACTTATTCATTTTTCACCTTACCACAGAGATGGTCATAATTATGATGTTGCTGTCACCCTAAATGTACCACATCCACATTCAAGAATTCTGAAATTCCCTCATCTAATCCCAGTCTGTTGTCATTCCTTCTGTCTCTCTGCCTTGCAACCCCAAATCCTTATTTCCATCTTCACAGTGACTTCTAATACCTGGACCCCTAAGTTCTTTCCCAGATTATCACTTCTACACTGGCTACACTTTCCTCCTTTCCCCATCTTGATCCTTTGGTGAGCCAGTCCAGTTGAACTTTACACAATCTTCTCTTGAGCCCCTTGCTCCCTTATCCCACCAAGATTTTGCCCTGCCAAACCTCAGCCTTCCACTGCCTTTGCTCCTACTCATCTACTGCTGAATGAAGCTGGAGAAAAGTATGAAACTATGCTAAGTCCATTACAAATTTATGTTCTTGAGCTCTCACTATGGCAAGGCAATTTTTTTACACATTCCTAATGGACACACTGCCCTATTCATCACAGTACTTTTCTAAATCTTTTCTTCCCTTCTCAGACTTCCCATTGCTCCCCCTCCCCGCCACCAAAGTTCTCAGCTGAGAACTTTGTCTCACATTTCACTGAAAAAATTGACACCATTCACCAAAAGCTTGCTCATCTTCCCTCTCATCTCACATTACTCATGTGCTTCCCTCCAATATTTTCTTGTCTCACATGAAGAGATGGCCCTTCTCCTTGCCAAGACAAACCCCTCTACATGCGTAAGGGATCCCATTCCATCCCATCTCCTCCAACAGATTGTTCCTTCTATCATCCCCATTCTCTCACTTATAACTTCTATCTCTCCTTGTCCACTGGCTGCTTCCCCACTGTCTACAAATATACAAATATGCCCATGTATATCCCATCTTCAAAAAACTCTTGCTTGAGTCACCCATTCCCGTATCTCTCCTCCTTTTTGTGGCTAAAATCCTTGAGAAGGATATCAACAATATGTGCCTTTACTTCCTTTTCTCTCACTGCTTCACCCTATGTAGCCAAATTTCTGACCTCATCATGCTCTCTCCAAAGTTAATAATGACCTCTTAGTTGCCAGATCTAGTTGCCTTTTCTCAATCCTTATCCTTATCCTTATCCTTACTGACCTCTGTGAGGCCTTTGACACTGTTGGCCACCCTCTACTCCTTTATACTTTCATCTCTTTAGGTTTTCAAGACATTATTCTATCCCAGTTTTCCTCCTACTAGTCTCCTTTGCTGGATTTTCACCCAGGATATACCTGCTAATGGGGATCCTGGGCCATCACCAGTCATGTTGACCTTTGTCTTGCCACTGGACTTTGATGACTCTGGAAGAAAGAGTGAGGCTGACGACTTCGCACAGCTCTACCTCACTTAAATCCAATTCACGAGCAAGTCGTCACCCTCATGATGTCATCAGTCCTCTTTGAGAGATCATGAAGGACAAACGACAACAACCTGCTAATGGTGGATGTCCCCCAAGGCTCTATCCTGAGTGCTTTTCTCTTCTTCTATACTATTGTGCTTGGTGATCTCATAAGCTGCCGTGGATTCTGTTATCAACTCTATACTGATCATTCTCAGATCTATTTATCTAGCCCTAACCTCCAGATTCATAGCTCCAACTGCCTTTTGGACATTTTGAACTAGATGTCCCATAGACATCTTAAATACATGTTAAAAACTGAACTCATTGTCTTTTCCCCAAAACTCTCCCCTCTTCCTAACTTTCCTATTACTTTGAAAGGCAGCACCATCTTTCCAGTCACCCAGGCTGGAAATCTAGGTTTCATCTTTAGCTTCTTGCTCTCTCACCGTCCCCACCCCTACCCCCATATCCAATCTCTTGCCAAGTCCTGTCGATTCTACCTTTGTATAACATTTAGTTATCTTTAGTATATATGCGCCTTTCTCATCTCTGGCCCTGCCACCATCCTGGTGCAGGCCCTTACAACCTAGTGCCTGGACTATTGCAAATAGCCTGCTGGTAGGTCAGCCTGCCACTGATCCAGTCTATCCTCCATTTATCAAAGTGATCTTCCTAAAGCACAAGTCTGACCACATCACTCTCTTATTTAGTAAACTCCAATGGCTTCCAATCACCTCCAGGATCAAACATGAAATCCTCTTTACAACCTGGTCCCCTCCTATATTTCTAGTCTTCCTAGACTAAATCCAGTGACCCTGGCCTTGCTGTTCCTCTCACAAGACATTCCCTCTCCAGATTCTGGGCATTTTCACTGGCTGTACCCTATGCTTGGAATACTCTCCCTCATTTCCCTACTTTCCTGGCTTCCTTCAAGTCTCAACTAAAATTCCACCTTCAACAAAAAGTCTTTTCTGATC